TGCGTTCTCCTGATCCAACCTCAACCTCACGCTTCACCCTTCGTGTGTCGGGCGATTCGGCGTCCGGAACTCGCAGTGTTTCTGGTGTCGGGATTGGGCTAAGTGCCAAGGCTAAACGCTAGCTTCTCGACTTGTTACTCCAAACGTATAGTAGAATAAATAAAAGTAGCAACAGGAGCCACATTGTCACTTGTGTATCGCATATCATGCGGCGCTGCACTACATAAACCGAGATTATATACAACACATTATGTACCGTAGGGCTGGCATTTCATTTGTTCTTCGCAATCAGTGTTCCTGCCTAATTTCAGATCCGTTTGTTTCAGATCGTAAACTATTACCATTGAACAAAATAGATATGCGAGGAAATTTCATATCGATATATCACTTCAGGCAATACCACACAAATATTTTCATTGATCAGCTGATATTGAATGAATGTATGTGTTCAAAATGGTTGACGGCAATCTAACGGGATCACGACAGCTGAAGCTGGGTGAAAAATGTGTGCAATGGACATGATATGAAAGCTGTTAACGAAACTTGACGGGGACCGGTATGAAAGTGTGGTGAGAAAATATGCAATAAGTAAAGAAAGGGAGGAGAATGAAAAAAGTATCACATAGAAATACGGGATAATCACTTCTGTGGCAATGACATCAGCACCGTTTGAACTGGATCACGTTGCTCGTACAACTCCGGTTGCATAATCTTAATTGCTATGGATTTCGCAGTTGTTAGCACCTTCTTCTTGCGCAATCCTTTGGGGTGGGGTTCTTAGTGGCGGTGGAGAAATTTGTAAATAATTTTCCCGGGTCAGTGATGTGTCCACTATCAATCAAATTTCGCACGATTGAGCTGTTCAGACTTCTTACTGTTCCTTTCCGAATAACGTCCGACAATGTTCGGATATTCTCTTGGAAAACCGTCTCGTTGTTTGTCCGATATATCGAGCACTACACGTAAACTGACATGGAACAAAGAATGGCGACTGAAGAGGCAATTTATATTTCTGTTGAACAATGAGTGACTTAGTCTTTGATGAGTCTTGCATGCGCTGTGAGAACACAGTCGGCTGTGGCTTTTGGTAACCGATGCTCCAGGTTTTCTAGTACCCGGTCTCTTTTAAAACGAACATTCACGAACGCCTTCTTCCCACTCAGTTGTGCTTTTCCATCGTTTGGTTTTGATTCCATATGTCGTCGAACAAACGACTTTAGGTATCCGGTTTCCTGAAGATATCTCTTATGTAGGTCAACCATTCGTTTGGAGTCTCCGGATTTTGATTTCTCTTCGCCCTGTACACTGCACAGTCCACTAAATTCGGTTTGTATCTCAGTGGGACGAAACTTTGAAAATATGTGTGCTGTCCAACCCACGTGCGCATACGGTATACTCTTCTTTCGATTTGACCATCCTCTTCTGTACGACGAAGATCAATGTCCAGAAATGCGAAAAAGTTGTTCTTTTCTACCTCCATTGTAAATCGTATACCCGGATGAGTGCTATGAAATACTTGAAGTGGTTTAATAATGTCCGTTCTAGAATCACAAATGGTGAAAGTATCATTCATGTACCTGGTGTATAGATCTAGACTGTCAGTTGGGTTTCTTAACTGTCCATCTTCGAGCTTAGCTAAAAATATCTGTCAGAAGTGAGCCAGGCGGTAATCCCATTGCTACAGAATCCTTCTGTCGATAGTACTTTCGATTGTACAAAAGCGGTATGTTCCAGGTACATCTCAGTATGAGTTCTTTAAGTTTCGTCACGGGTATTTCAATGTGGATCTTTTTCTCAATAATGAGCTGACAAACATGGTCTACCGTCTCCAGCAGTAGTACATTTGTGAACAAGGATTCAACATCAAGGGAGAGCGTGGTCTTATGCGACACGTCTTGATTCCTCTCAAGGTCAACGAATAAAAAAGAATCTTCCTTTCGTTCGCTATATCTGGCTAGCGATTTATGCACTAGTTCTATAATTTTTACAATCCACTGTGCTATGGCATGGCAGGCTGAATTTCTCAGCAATCACCGATCTAAGTTCCACATTTGGTTTACGAATTTTCCGCAATCCATAGAGTCCCGCTGGTCGAGATCCACATGGAATACGTGTCGCGTGTGTGATGAGAAAAATGTATGTTTGTCAATTTTTCTCCCCGGTACGAGTTTTTGTTGTGTGCACAGGACTTGTGAATGAGTTTTGACGGCCAATATTCGCCCAATCTAACTGTTTCTTTATCAAACAGCGCTTAACCTACGGGTTTATTCAATCTATTACTGATTTGTTTGTCTTGTTTTTGCGCTACTCTTGTTCCCTGTCTGTCGAGGAACGAGTGAATTATCTGTCCAGTTCCGTTCTCTCTTTTCGTTTGTATCTACACTGGTTCAGTCATACAACGCGGTTTTTCTGACCGAGCTTTTTCAACACGGGCTGGTCACCTTTAACCTCTCTCTGTGGTCTGTGAAACCGAACAGTATTGCCTGACTTCCACAGCTTGGTTTACCAACCGCACAAACCCCTCCACAATGGAGAGACGGGGGATGGACGCTGTTCGTAACTATCTGCTGATAGATGTGTTCATATAAACTTGCATATACCTGTCCGACTTAATCTACTAAAATGTCGAGACCGGTAGCACTACCTATATCCGTAGCCTGGCACATATGCTTGTCTCATCATACACGTTCAACAAAGAGGTGTGTTGTGGTCAACAGTCGTGAGCCGTGCGTAACAGACATGTTCAGATGACCAGTATGAAAAAAACTAAACCAGTTGGTGCATATCTGATGCTAAGTATCGTTTCCGGCTTGATAATGCTTTTATCGTAGCAACCAAAATTATTTGCATTGTTGTTGTCGCTCTCTTCGTCCCGGTGATGTTTATAGACTGCGCAACGTTTTTGATCAACTGGACCGTGTTACATCGATTGTGTGCTTTCTGCTTGTGAACAAACCTCGATGCCTCGGTTTGATCATCTAACTCCGCATTCCTTCCGAAACTGGCAGATTACTGTGCACGGTTTGCCCTGTCCGCATTCTTAGCTGCGTTTTTGATAGCTTGTGGGCACAGTTGCTGGAAGCCTAAATTGTCGTATGCAGATCTGTATGTCCTGTGAAACATTCTCCAACAAAATTTTATCTGATATTTTCCATCTTTATTCTGCCCTTAGTCAGTGCCCTTCTTACTCATCCGTCCGTTCCACTCACAAACTTATAGCGACACGCACTGAAGCTTACAGATGGTCTATTGTCCCTTAACTCGCCAGATTTCTAACAAACTATGAACTCGTTGCAGGAAATCTGCGCAAAACGCTAATTTAAATCAATCAGAAACACCCGGGTATGCCACATGGGTTTCTGATTTTGCTGTCATTTTTCACGTTCTTTAATTGCTGTATTATATTGTTTTTTCACTTTTTGTTGACGCACTGTGGTTATGTGGTTGCTGAATATCCAACTTTCGAGGTGTATAAAGCCATTCCTTGACTTGCCTTGCCTTGGCACTAGAATACAATGCTAACAGCGTGTGTTTGTCTGTGTGTGCTGATCCGAATACTTCGACTGTCTGCACTTCATTTGGGTCACTCATTTGTCATGATCATCGTACAGCGAAATACAGTGAGGCGAACTTCACTGATCGCTGCCACTCGTTTGTGCCGCTCCATTGTACTGCGTCAGCAAATATCACGTCTCCGTGTGCGGCTATCCCTCCTGCTACCTCTTGATTATGAGCGTGCCAGCAGCTGCTCCAGCGAAGAAGCCAAAGACTGCCAAGCCCAAGGCTCCAGCATCGCACCCATCTATCATTGGCATGGTGAAGACGGCCGTCACCGCGGCCAAGGATCGTAAAGGAACTTCTCTATCCACGATCAAGAGATATATCGCCGTCAACTACAAGGCCGATGTTGATAGGCTCGGACCCCATATGCGTCGTGGAATGGTACACGCTGTCAGGAAGGGTGTCCTGGTTCGCGTAGGCAATAAAGGAAAAGGTGCCTCTGGAAGCTTCAAATTGGACGAGAAGAAGGCGGCGAAACACAAACCTAAGGCGATGACAAAGCCCAAGGCACCGAAGGTTAATCAGACTGCGACCCCAAAAAAGCCGACAGTGGCCAAGAAACCCGGTAAGCCTACGGCCAAGACCCCGACAAAGCCTAATGGTGTGAAGGCCAAGAAGGCGACGCCCAAAAAGCCAAAGATATCACTTCTGTTGTTCGTTCTTCAAGCGTTAATACATTTCTTTGTAAGATTCATGGGTTTGGGAGTGCACACATCCAAATGTGGGATATTTTCTACCCGCTCAGAACCTTCGGTCCAACGGATGCTGATCGACCGTGATTTCATCGAGTACACGCCATCGTACGTATACACAGACTCCACCTATATCCCGAATGGCTAAGAGAATGAAGAGAGAAGAAGTGGCGCTATAATTCAACGATGCCAGGAAAGCTCTTCTGCAGCTACAACGAACATTCTGGGCTTACGGTTAAATCATTCTCTGCACCAAACTTCCTGTTCATTGTCCAGCCATCCAACTAGTACACATCTACGGATGCAAAATCTGGCCTTTGTGAATCGCGAGTATCAGGTGTGTAAAATTATTCAATCACTAGGGAAAACCCTCTCCCAATAAAGAACAAAGCAAAGTGAGCTGATGTTAGGACAGATACAAACTACCCACTGTCCCGGAAAATCGCCGGTTGAAATGGTTCGATCATGTGCCGTGGCAACCGGAGACGGGACTATTCAAACAAATATCCGGTCCTGATCCGCGTTCTGATTAACGTTGTCATTCTAGTGGATGACTGAAAGTGTAAGTCAGTGCTATCGGGAACGGCGTCGAGTTTCCGGTTCTCCAGTTGTCGTTTGCTTGCGAGCCATACAGGTTATGAAGTTCCGTTTTTACAATCGTTGCCCGTGAACTTTCGTGCGGCGGTTTTTTAATTGCTGTCTCTCTGGGCTACTCATTTGAATGAAGGAGTAAAGGAAAGATTGGAATATGAAGGTGATACATTGCACAGTTTTGGCAAGTCGAATACCTCATTTGTGAATAGTTGCAGCTCAGCACTGGATTGGAGCAACTGACGAGCCGAACAAATGAAAATCATCTGGGTATATTCCTATCATATCTGCATACTCTAGACCCCACCAGTTACACTAATCCAGAGCACGTTCTACCATTTCTCTCTGCCTTAATTCAACTTTTTCTGATTGCTGTTCGGTGTTGTTTCCGCACCATATTCTATCAACACCACCTCACTTCTTGCAACCTGATTCATATGCGTGCAAAGGTCGGGACTGTTAGTGTTGTTTCGTGTCTGCGGCACCTATCTCTATCCACCATCCATCTGGTTTGGTTCCACTTACTGGCCTCGGCAACATGTAAACGCGCCGTGTATCGATCGTCTCGTGTGTGTGTATGTGTGTGTGTGTGTGTGTGTGTGTGTGTGTGTGTGTGTGTGTGTGTGTGTGTGTGTGNNNGGTCTATGTAATTCTTTCGTGTATACCCGACAGTGGAATACATGGCTGCATTGAATAGTTATTTCGGCCGTATCTTAACACCGGGGACAAAGCGAAACTGCTAATTGTTTGTGAACTGTTTGTTTGTATCACTCCATTTAGTAGAGTAGTAGTTCGCTGCGGTTTCTGTCCGCACACATCGATGCACATATGTGTGTGTGTGTGTGTGTGTGTGTGCATGTGTACCCTACGTGTTCAGTGGAAATTGTCAGCAATCGGAACATAGTATGGAAAAACCATTGTTGTACAGAGAGTGCTAACCTGTAAAATACTAAATAGGCTAGAACGAAAGTGTCATGTGCACAATGATTACATCTCCAAGTTGAAATACTTATCACAGTCATATATATGCCCACGGGTTAGAGCCTTCGTTAACCTGGTTCCCTTAACTGACCTACCTTGGGTGTAAATGATGGCTTTCATTCTCCGAACATCCTGGTCTGATATGTCCTTTACACGAACATGACCGCAAATGGCCTTAACCTTTGCTTGCCTTGGAACAAGTCTTCTTGAGATTATTCATATTTTTGTTTAGGAATACTCTCGTTATATATCTATGGATGTACGATCACTGTATAAAACTTTAATTTATCGTCAGTTGAGACAGATTGGGCCAGCATGCTGATAGACAAACGCCAATCATGAAATGGGATGCTTCGCGAAGATCATCTGGATTCGCTTATCAGGTAGCACCAGTTAGCTGGTGGTCGTCATTAGCATCTAGGTTTATCTGATCAATACCAGTAGTTCGTATAGCTTGCAAAAATATTGCTCCGCCTTGAGTGGAACGTAGTTTTACCCCGGAAAATCCGTTATTAATCAGTCCTGTAGATCGGAACAGCCATAACCAGCTATTCAATTGAATCTAGGTGTTTACCTTCCACACAGAAATGGTGCTGTTTTTTCCCAAGGGTTCGCAATAAACAGTCTGTTATTAGTAGGCATGTTTTGGTTAATAGAATGCGACGGAAGCCTTTGTGATAACCGAAGAATAGCACTGGGCAGCTATGTCGTCCGGTCTACTTAAGTCGGCAGCAGTGTTTTCTTCTCTTCGTCCCTGTCCGAGCTCGAACCGCAAATCTTCGGGTTGGGAGTCGACACCTCCACCCCCTGGGCTACACAGTTCATGCTTATCAGCTTGTGTAAATGACTGAATCACTAAAGTTTCTATAACAAAACAGTACTAAACTGTTGGAGATATTACTGACCTCCCAAGGAGTGTTGTAACTCACACTTATCGTCCAAGCATTTACTGTCTAAACATTGTTTTGACAATTTGCATCGAATGTGACACACAATTCGTTCGTATGTGTGATCCCTTTACCGTGTGATACTTCCCATCCCCGTTCAGCGACCGGATTCTGTTTTTATCGGTGGCATGTTTTGAAACGGACAGTGGAAGAGATCCCGTTCGAATTGACCTTGGACCTGGCATCCTATTTCCGTTCCTCCACAACGTGGTTGGCATTCGGTACGCTTTTTGATTATTTTTCTTCCCTTTCATCAGCCCGAATAGATTTCGTTTGTTAGCTTCGGTGCATATTCCTGTGTGTATATATTGTGTTAAACAACAAACAAGTGCTTACTTTTGCGTCTTTTTTTTAAATTTGTTTCTTTTATTTCATTCACTTAGGAATCGTTTCCGTCATTCTCCTCGTCGTCATCCTGCTCGTGCTGATATTTTTACGCAAACGCATTACAATCGCGATTGGAATTATCAAAGAGGCTAGCAAGTGCGTGCTTTGTGTTGATTTTTGTTGTTGTGCTTACCGTCATCTGACTAAAGTCATCCCTCGATTATCCATTAGCGCTGTTAGGTGTTGAACGGATCACCCGAGCGGTGTTGTGATTTGTTTATTTTCTCCGTTTTCCTTTATTCTGATTGGGCATTTGTCGATCGTGCTTGCGTGGCTGATCTCAACCTGCCCACATCAGCGAGCATTGCGGTTTCGCGAATCACGATGTTCTACCGATCAACAGCCGTTAGTTAGTTTCTCACCTTTCCGCACCGTTCGCGAGACAAACTGTACTATATAAATCTGTATTGAGAAGATCAAGCTTTCTCACGTTCCAATGTGTCAGTCAGCACTATTTTGGTGGCAAGCGCGTAATGCGTGTTGGTACGGTGTCGCGTAATTTTCACTATTTCGTTCTTTTTGCCTTGCAGTAAAATGCTTTCAACCCCAACTTTCATATTGAAGTTAATATCCACGGTTATACCAATTCACTGGAAATTTGATGCGAAGCCCTCGATGCTGCACCAGGTTTAGATGCGCACTTGTGTGTTTGTGTGTTCTGTGTGTGTGTGTGTGTGTGTGTGTGTGTGTGTGTGTGT